TTACTCTCCTTCGTTCAAGTGTTAGGCAGCTACTTACCTAGTTTTTTAGTCAGCTCAACATCATCATGTGAAAGTTCCCAACTCTGCCGAAGGATCGGATTCCGTAAGATTACTTCATGAGCCTAGAAATACCAGTGCGTTTCGAAAGGAGGTGCAAGTCGCGCTGCACAAATATGACCAAATCATATGCGAAACAACTCGGACTGCTAATATTGGCAAATCCGATTCTTGATTGAAAATTCTAAATTTCATCGTTCGTTGGAATTGTTCCTTTGCGTCTCTGTATTTGGTAGTACCCTTCAAAAAAGTCTTTGCATATGTCCGTATTGACTAACCTTAGTTATAGAGTCCTTTTTGTTGACATGGTATTCAACCATAGCGGTGACCGATTCGAAAGCGTACTTCTCGATCATGACTTTGCCGGATGGTAAAACCGTGATGACGAAATGTTTGATCTGGAAGCCATGGCTAGAACCACTCTCAAAAGAGTAATGTAAAACAGTGAATGCTCAGAGAGTAGTGAGCTTCAATTAAACTGGATACAGAGCATGTGTTGGCCAGACTTCAGCATGCTTATTTTCATCTGGAGACAAAAATGGCTGCACTACTTCTTAGTCACTGTGCCTTCGGACTGCACCGTCGGCGGTTTTTCTCCTCTCCCTCCGCCCTAGGCTCCACTAAAGTGAGAATGAAGAGAGGAGACCTGATTTCGAACTCAGTATCGCCAGGATAGGATTGGGCGATTAACATCAATCCATTCTAATTTTTCATTTATACCAACCCCTTTCCACTTTCGGCTGTTCCCATTCTTGCAAGCTAGGAAAGATACGGTTTGCGTTGTGAAGGCGAGCTGGAATGTTTGAACTAGCATTCTATACCGAAGTACAGCGTTTCTGGCCAACGTTTCGCAGCGAAAACTTCTTAGATTCCTTCACTGCCGAGTGACACCCTCTCCCTATTCCGAACTTTGCTGCTTGCTCTTTTACGGCACGAGCTTTCCATGAGACATGCTGCTTAGTGACGAATGTAAGCACCTTACGTGCTTTGTCGTACTGTTGCGGCGAAATTTTGATCTTTTCTGGACGGAAGAACTCAGGTGGTGTTTCTTAAATCAAGGCTCACATACTCCTTGATCTTCAAGCTCCTGCTTGACCATGACTGAGAGAACAAGGGCACGTGGTTTCCCTGCGACAGGCTCAGTAGTTCGCACCAAGAAATCGCCATTCGAACGAAGCATCATCTATAAAACAAGCTGGCTTGAAGTACTGCTAGAGAGAACCCACTATTCACTAGGGATTCATTGCAGACTGATCCATCTAACCTTGATGTCTTCTCGGGGGAGTAATCCATGATACCATTGTTCATTGGCAAGCGTTTTCTCCATATTAGCTTCCTCAACCGCTCGAGATATGAACTAAGAATGAACCATACTCATCGCTCTTGTGTTGTTCACTTTGCAGCACATTTATCTCATCGGTTGCTGATAAAATAAGGATAAGAATTTTCGTGCTAATCATTCTCGTATCCTGGATGCACAACCGTATTCGACCGCCTGTTACTACAACACCTACACCATAAATGACACAAGACCATGTAGAAATGAATCGGCCCCGATTCCGCAGAAGGAACGCGTGCAATTAAAGAGCCAAAAGTTCTGGCTGTCGACCTGTTATGGAAAGTAATCCAGAATGCAATGACATGAAGGTGACTATCGAAACATATCTGGAACAACGAGATCATAAGAACTCGTGGAGGCCGTGTGGAGTTCAGGTGGGTTCTGTCGTTCTGTTATTCAGCCGTTAACAGTTGCACCATACCGCATATGACATATCTCAAAAGAATTTCGAATGTCGTCACCACAGTGATGTATTCACATATTCTGCCTATCTACGCAATTTTGTTTGCCGTTGATTACGCCAAGAAATCAATCAGATGGGTCAGAATCGCCATGCGATAAAGTGATGACCATTGGACCAGGACGGTTACGGACTGGATCCCTCGAGACTCAAACGAACACCAGGACGGCCGCCGGCCCGATTGTCAGACTTCTTCACGAAAGCTATAAACGAAAGTAGTGTTTTGCCTTGTGTCCCTCGAGTGAATATGATTCACTGGACTACTGTGGCTGGAGACAGGGACGAGTGTAGACGTTACTGGCGCCTGCTCGAGGAAATCGATGATCAAAGAGACAACAGGTGATACGAGTGATGCAGTTCTGTAAATTCAAATGTCACATCTTGTATTTCATTTCTTCATTCTACTAATAATAAATTGAAGAAGCATGATGGTCCACATTTCACTTTTTTCTGGAAAACTTAGCGCACCATGACCTTCAGCAATTTTACGAAGTGATTGCAACCAAA